GCTCAGGTCCCTTCCAACCCTACCAACTATGAAGCTATGAAGTTAGGGGGAGGTTTCCCGTGTTGGCAGAGGAAATTCAAACGTAAAAAAGGCACATTGGAAACGGACCCAGAATTGTGACAGCTGCATGTGAGTGCCTCGCAGCCCACTGCTTGCTTGTGCTTTTCTTCTGGTTCTTTCAAGTTTGATTCTAACAGAAGTAGAATAGAAGGAGCTGAAAAGTGCCTACATTTAAGCAGTAGGCTCCAGAGAACACGATGAAATGGAAAAGGAAAGGCTTAGTATTAAGCACTTGCTTAGGGGTTACTAATAATGGGCCTCCTCTGAACATACTGTAGTCAGTGGAAGGATGCCCTGGCTTTGGATTACGCCCTGGCTGACCACTGCAGTATTTGCTGGAGAAACCCTTCAAGCTAAGTTTTCTCTTTGAGCTAAACCAGCCTGAACTTCATTCCTGATGCTTTGCAGGAGCAGTGAGCCCAGATGACTCGGGCGCCAGCTGGTGCAGTTCATTCAAGCCTGAAGAATGACACTTTGCTGTTCCCACTGGCTCCCCTATACAGCACAGTGCAGCTACTTGGATACAGACTATTGCCACTTAGGTTGTAAAAGTCAAATTTTATGGCTAGTCAAGGAATCCCCTGTTGAAATGTGAGATGCAAGTACATTGGTGTGTACAAATGGCCTTTTGTATCTGAGAAATACCACATCCCCCCCCGAATCTGACTATAAGTCAAGTACCAGGAATTCTCTGTGGCACAGTATATCACGAATACCTATGTTGCCCTTTGTTTGCTATGCGCTGCTTCATTAAATTGTTGTTTCTTTCTTCCCAGGCAACGTAAAAAAACAAAACAACCCCCACCCCCACCCGCACTCCCACCAGTGGGCTTGTAGTTAAGAATGATCTACCCAGCAGGCCCTCATTTTATTAAATTCCCCCGGTGAAACAGCCTGTTCCACTCCTGGGCAGCGGAGAATCAAAAACTCTGAGTTAATTCAGGTCTACTTGATGCTGGCGTGTGTAGCAGGCACCGTGCCTACTGCCTGGAACTCCATACGTGGATTCTCTTCCTGCCTCCCCTTGTGAGCAGTATCTGTCTCGGCCAGAGATAAGCTGCTCTTCATTGTACCTTTCTTGTGGAAGAGTCAGAGGAGGCCACAGACCTGTGTTAGCAAGAAACATATTTGTCTGACACTCTTGATGGACTGAATGGTGCCGGAGGACTGGAAGAGGGCCAACATGGTTCCCA